GTCCCTACAGGAGGGTCCCAGGGGCTGCCCTGGATTTGAGTCCAGGCCTCGAACTAGTGGACCTGGTGCCGGTCGTGTAAAGTGAATGTTCTCAGCAGCAACTCCACGTCCTAGTGTTCACCATGAGCCAGCCACAGCTGTGAGTGCGGCCCATGTGATGACTCATCGAATGCTCAGGGCAGCCCAAGAAAAAGGTGCTGTCAACATCTCCCTGTAAAGATGAGGACGCTCCTCATATGTGGGACAAAAGCTAAGTTACCTGCCCCAGGGAGGAGCTATGCTCTAGCTCCTGGGCCTGGACACTTAGCCACATGCCACACTGCCCTTTCCACCACGGCTGCCCTCAGCCCATGCCTTCCCTGAAGTTAGAAGTTTCTTCCTAGAACAGTTTCCCATTCTCTTTCTCCCTCTGACCCCCACCCTTTGCCTCATCTCTTTCTGTTTCTCTCCCTCGTGCGCTCTTTCCACCTCTCTTTGTCCCCTCACCCCCATTATATTCTCTCTCATCTCTCCCTCCATCCCTCTCTGTCTCAGTGCTCTGTCTCTGATCCCTGGTCCGACCCAGTACCTGAGCTGGCAGGTGGGCCAAGAGACTCAGGCATGGGGGCGGGAGGGGGGGTGGCAGGAGAAAGGGGGCCAGGCTCCTCTGACCCCCTATGCACAGAGCCCCTAAATTCCCCAAGTGCAGCGGGGAGACCCACAGAATAAGAAGCGTGGCCCAAGAACTCCAGCTCTAGAAGACAAAGCTGTAGGAAACTGTAGGAAAGCCCAGCCCCCCAAAGGGGCTCACTCTGCTCCCAGAGCAGATCTAGAAGGTAAGAGTCTGTAAATAAAGCTGCAGGCAGGAGCCCCTAGACCCGCTCCTCTCTGGAATGTAGTTATGTTCCAGAGAAGACAGGGGGATCAAGGGAGTGTAGACCCCAACCCAGGTGGTACAGGCAGTCAAAGGGCTCCTGAACCCCTGAGGGGCCCAGACTTTCCCTGAAAAGGCAACAAGCTCTGCAAAACCCAGTGCCAGTGGACAGTCTGGGGACTGGCTGTTTGTCCTGGGCTCAGAGCACATGAGCTCAGAGAATTGGGGTCTAGGCAACACCCACTGGGTGTCTGCGGTGGTGTGCAGCCTGGGGGTCTGGAGAGAGGGAGAAACTAGGAAACCCCAGCACCACAGAGGTTTCTAGTAGCTTTCGTGAAGAAGGATGCTGCCCTAGGATAAAAGCCATCTTAGAGAGTCCAGTTTGTCAATGCTGGAGACCAAGGAGACCTGGGGTGGAGGGAGCACGGCATGGCAGCAGGAGCAGGTGGGAACAGAGGGGTTCTGCTAAGCTGGGGCAGACCCCCTGGAAGGACAAGCTGGCTGCCACTGGGGGACAAAAATAGCACCAACAGGACAGAGTTCAAGAGTCATCTACTTTGGTGGTACCAAGAATCTGAAAAGATCTGGGACACCCAGGGCCCTCGTGTCCCAGGGACAGGAAGTTTCCACCCTTGTTGGGATAAAGCAATATGATAGTCTGCCCTCAGGGGCCAGGTGCACAGGCGACGCTTGCTCATGAGGTCTCTGATTAGCACTCTTTTCTGGTTTTAGCTATGTGTGTGTGTGTGTCTATCATCTAATTATCATCTCTTGATAAAACAGGCTTGACCAGATATTTTTCTGGACCAACCCATCTTTACATTACATCTTCATTCATTCTCTTCAGGTAATCCTGGTGTTAGAGCTAATACGTAGCTGAATATTGACCTGCAGACCAATAGCATTGGCTCCCTGGCATTTTCATCAAGGGTTACGCACAGCTGCAGCTACCAAGCATCTTCCCTGACCCTCCCCTCACTTGGCACCCCAGATGGGTGGTGCTGGGGTCACTCCATCACTCAGGGCAAGATTTAGTCAGTCTGGCCATGACCTGGCTCTGACAGCATTAAGGGAAAGAGCAACGGCCCCCTTGTAGAGATGAGATCTCCCAGGCATGACTGTCATGTGGATTCTGCTCATGGTCCCTGCGTGTCCCATGATGTGGAGCAAGGCTTCCAGGAGCAGGCCCAGGGGAAGACAGGATTCACATGAGATTTCATGACGGGCCCAGCAGCAATGTCAAGGTTGGATTCAAACTTCTTTCCAAACACAGACTGTGCAGTCAAGCTTCAGGGCAGGGAATGGGGACATAGCAGGTGCCATATTCCATGGGTCCTAGGCCCCACATCGGGGTATTTTTGACACCAGGTCACCAAGGAAGGTGGGCAGAGGAGATGAGGTCCCAAGGTCTGGTTGGGGAATAGAGGGTTTGTGCACAGCTACAGTACAATGCCAGCCCACACCCCCCACCCACATGCCCCAGAGTGAGGTGTGAGCTCCTGCAGCCTTGGAGGTCTCCTAGCCCCCAACCCCCACTGACCCCCCACCATCACCTGTGGTGAGCTGCAGCCCCAAGGAGAACCAGGCCAAGACAATTCATACCCTACACTTAACCAAGTTTCTCCTCTGCAGTGAGTGGGGAGGAAGGTAAGGCTTTTCTTGGCTCTCCGCTGGGGGCTATGAAGCCTCTCCAGGTGCACAATCCTCAGTCCCCAGTAGCCACTCCTGCCCTGCCTCAGTTGCCCTGCTACAGAGAGAGCTTGGTGTCCTCCCTGCTTCCTCCACCTCTGCCCTCCTATGGGTTTCTCACCTGCCAAGGCCAGGCCTGTGTGGCCTCTTCTCAGGCCCTCAGGAGCACATGTAAGCGCAACACTTCCGTGTAGATCTGAGGCCCGTAGCGGACCTGGGACTCAGATCATCCCCATTTCCTGGGTGAGGATGGTGAGAGAGCAATGACTGGGGCCATGGTGCTGGACTCAGCATGTCCCATGCCATGTTGAGCTGGGGAAGCCTCCTGACAAGGTTTGGGGTGGGCAAGGTGGGGCTGGGGTCTTCTCAGAAGGCCAGCCTTGCTCTTGGGGGCTTTCAAACCCTGCCTGCCTGATTTTGAGTCTATCTCATTGTGTGTGGATTAATTGTTGTGCAACCTAGAGTGGTGAGACAAGTTAATTACATAATTACTGCAAAATGACATGTTATTTCATGGCTGCAATATGGTAACTCTGTTGGAAACAATTGTAATTGCCCAGAAACTGCATTCGAATGGCTCCGTTATCTCTCGATAACCATGTAATTAACTTGTGTTACAACTTTATCTGCAGCAAACTCTGAAGTTAGGAGTTGGGGCCCTTGAGGTGGGCACAGCCAGCCCAGACCTACAGGCCCAGGGAAGGTCTGGCATTGGGGGTTCTGCTACCAGGAAGATAATGAAAATGCCTCATTATGGACTCTAGTCCTCTGTGTCTCTCTGTATCCAAACTTGTTCACAATCTCACATGGTCACCTACAGACAGCCCCCAGCTTTGCAGTCCCATTGGTCCCGTGTCTCACACACACCCACTACACCCAGACCCAGTGGCTTCTGCCTCTCTGCTCTCGCACGTGCATGGGTGCAGCTCCCTCACAGAAGGTGGGTGCCCCCAAAGTTGAGGATTTCTATCACCAAGATCCTTGGCCCTAGCCACCCCTTCCTCAGACTGAGCCACTGACCACAAAACCACAACTCAGAGAGGCAGCCTCCTGCAAGCACCCAGGAGAGCACAGCCATCCTCCCGCTTCCAGTGGAGGAGCAGGCCTGGGGCCGAGAGATGCGGAGGCCCAGCCAGCACAGCACGGCCAGTTCCCTGCCTGGGAGCCGGCAGGGCTTGAGGCGGTAGTCTGGCTCCTTCTGCGCTGGGCTCTGGACTGCGGCCAGGCTTAAAACAGCCCCTGGGGAAGGATGGGCAAGTGTTCAGACAGTGGTGGAGCCTGACCATACAGCCTTCTCCCTCCAGGCTTGAGACCCAGGGAGCTTCTCTTTTTAATACTGCTCAGAGATAGGATGCCTTTTCAGCTCCGGGCTCTGTGCTCGGCACTATGGCTGCAGACAAGACGAAGACAGCACCCCTGCTGCCTTGAGTGGACCCAGCTCCGCCAGGGAGGTGGACGTCGCCCCAGTGCCTGCTGCGGTTCTGGCTGAGTACTGTGGCTTGCCTGTCTCCATCTGTCCCTCCTGCCCATCTCTGCCTGGAAACTCATCTACTTGTGTGTCATCTCTCCTGTCTACCAGTACATGTGTCTGCCTGACCATGTGTCCACTGACTTGTCTGCCTCTGACTCTCCTAAGTCATCACAAGTGTCCCTGTGTGCCCTGGAGGGAACTGGCCTATTCTAGGTCTCCCTACAGTGTTCTGTTCTTGCTACCATGTGCTTTGTTTTCCTGGCTTTCCCCCTCTCTGGTTTCTGCTTCTCACCCCCACGGCAAGCTCCTCAAGGGCAGGGACTGTGTCTGATCTATGATTCATCCTCGTGTCTGATTTGCTCGGGGTCACCCCTGCCTGCAGCACAGCGTTGAGACACAGAGTAGACTGAGGTTTGCTCACTGAGTGAATGGAAGCCTCCAGCCTGCGTGGGCCAAGTTGAAGGGAAACAGTAAAGGATTGTTCTCGCTCACCCAGGAGAGCAGAAAGCAGGGCCCCAGGTCAGGTCCCAGCTGCTAGGCAGAGACAACAAATGCCATCTGTCACCCTGAAAGGGAAGAGGGGTTTCAGCATGGTGCTCCCATGGTAGGGGACACAGGCTTTGGGGTCCTGCTGTAGAGGATGCCAGAGCTAGGTCCCCCTCTGGACAGTCAGTGTGGGGTTTCACTGGGGGAATGGACTGCAGGAACACAAGGGAGGGAAGAAGGAAGGCTTCATCTTACCCCTCTTCTGGGGGGCCTACTCGGAGCCAGGGTGTATGTTCTGCCAGGGAGGGGAAGGACACGTCAGGTCTCACCTCTGGCTGGGGGTTCCAAGTTGTCCCCTTCCAGCTTCTTCCCCCTAAAGCCAACCTATTGCTCCCCTGTCCAGAACAGCACACGCTGGAGGCCCGCCCCCTTTCCGTGCCTACCCCTCAGGGGCGAAAGGGCGGGCCCCAGGCCGGTGTCAGTCACGTGAACAACGCACAGTAACCTCCCCGGAAACATTCATAAGTTTAATCCACGCCAGTAATAAAATCGCATTACATTTCTCATAAAATAAATGTTCCCATTTATATACAGAAGACAGACTGTACAGGCCCCGCCTGGCCCCAGGAGGGATCACACACAGACGGGTGGCGGTGGTGGAGGAAGGGCTGTCCCTCCCGTGGAGGACGGAGAAGCTCTAGGCGGCGGAGCGCGGCGCCGGGCGGTGGGCAGGCGGGCAGAGGGGCCCAGGGGCCAGGCGCCGGGCGTTACTGAACCTGGGATTCAAAGGTGCCATTGAGCTGCCCCTCCTCATAGTCCATCTGACACAAGATCATGTTGTTCTTCAGGAAGAATTTGTCTCCCACACAAAATCTGGAAAATCCAAGCAAGAGAGAGGAGAGAGAGAGAGAAGCCTTGGGAGGGGTCCCAGCAGGTAGCAGGGGCTCAGACAGGGCCCAGCCCCGCCCAGGAGGGGGACACGTGGCAGGCGGTGATGGGGAGTTTGGTCCTTGAGCTTCCCAGAGGGGATGGCCAGGAGTCCCGCAGCAAGCCTGGTCAGCCCAGCCCCCGCCAGGCCCTGCAGGTAGGACAGACAGGCAGGCAAGCCTGGGCCACGGCCATCTACAGTCAGGTCCCCTGGCGGGGGGAGGAGGGGGCTGGTGTGCGAACAACTTACCCCAGTCCCAGAGAGGGAGAGAGAGAGCACAAAGAAACAGAAAAGACCGAGAGGACAGACGGAGAAAGGCAGAGATGGGGAGGGCGGAGGGATAAAATGGGCACTTTTCCAGCCCTCTGTCCCTCTCCCCAACCTAACAAGACTGCTTAGTAAAGGGCATTCTTCCTCCAATCAGAATCTGTGGGTTGTTTAGAGCATCCTACTGGGAGGTAACCCTGTTCCTCTAATTCTCTGCTTCCCAAGGCAGGCCCTACGTTGGTTCCCTAGTCTTCCCCAAATACTGGATGATTCCAGTCCTTTCCCCAAAGATGTCCCCAGGTGGCTGAAGCTTGTAGTGAGACCCAAGGATCACTGGCCCAGTCCCAGCAGATCCCAGTCCAACCACCAGGTGGCGCTGTAACTTCACCAAGCCCTCCTAGCAGCAGGTCTGGCCAGAGCCCCTGGCCAGACCAGCGTTCCCTTTATGTCCCTCTGGACTGCACCCTCTGGGAACACTTGTTATGAGTTCCTACCTGCCTTGGGACTCCTGAGAAAAGGGCTTGCCTTCTGGAGCTAGGCCCCAGCCAGGGCTGAAGGGCTCTGGCTCCTTAGGTCCCCGGGGCCTCCCACAGGGCTGGGGCATAGCGTAGGGGCCAATAGTCCAGAAAAGAGGTTCTCCTTGAACCAGAATCAGGGAGTGCGGGCAGGAGCGAGTGGCCATTCCCTGAAGGGATTTTGCCATCCAGGTTTGGGAACCCTTCTCACTAGAACGTATGTGCATGCACATATGTGTAGTATACACACAGATATGGGGGTGCAAGGATACATTACCCCTCTACATGCACATCTAAAAGACGTGTGCACATGTGTACTCACCTCATGCACACACAGTAAACACACATATATATCCCTATTATGCATGTACATTTAAAAACACATGTATATGTGCATATTAATTCCGTCATGCACACATACCCACTTGTACATGGACATTTAAAAATCTCATACATGCACATGTGCACTCCAACTATGCATGCACGGCCAACTCATGCATCCCCTCATCCATTACAGTCACACAGAAGTATGCCACACAAATGCGCACACCCGGTACTGGAATGCACACATTCGGCCACAGGGCTTAGGCACACATAAAACACATAAAGCGCATGCACACTCACAACATGCACACACAGAACCCAGATTCACACGCATGCCTCCACAGCACGCTGACCCACCCCAGCAGGCCTCAGGCTAGTGTCTGGTGAGTGTGTTGGGTCTAGTGTGTAGCACTCACCTCTGGTTGCAGAGCTGGCAGGCGAAGCAGTCCAGGTGATACACATTGTCCCGGGCCCGCATCACCATCTCAAAGGCTGGGATCAGCTTGCTGCAAGCAGCGCAGTTTCCGGTGGTGCCAAAGAGCCTGCCAAGGGAAGGGTGCAGAGGACTCAGGGCCTGCCTGGGCAAAGGGTATGAACACTGATGACAGCATCTAGATTCCACCAAGAGACCAGGCTTCAGAGAAATAGGCACATCCCCCCAGGCAGGGCATGGAGAGGGTCAGGAGTTGGCTGACACTGCCCATCCCAAGGCCTCCCTTCCAGGTTTCCACTGGGATCCCTCAAACACCTGGGGCCACCAGGAAAGCACTAGGCTAGCTCCAACTAAGAGTTCCAGACTCACAGGAGCCTGAATTTTAGAGGCTGTGTGTCCTCAGGCAAGTCACTGAATCTCTCTGAACCTTATTTACCTTCCATAAAACCAAGAGGAAAATACGCCCTGCTCAGGGTTGTTGAGAAAACTGTTGTAAATTCTCAGTCAGAACTAAGCAAATGCCTAGGTAGTGTTTACTCTATGGCAGGCACTATTCTAAGAGCTTTACAGACATTAACTCATTTAATCCTGACAACAACCCTGGGAGGTTGGATACTGTTATTATTCCCCATTTTAAAGATAAGATAAGAAAAATGAGTCACAGAGAAGTAAACACCTGGTCAAGTCATGGAGCCTTGCTCCAGAGAGCATGTTCCAAACCACTGCATGATGCTGCCTCCCTCCTTTAAAATTACAGTGTTTTATTAAGTCTTTTTTTTTTTTTTTTTGCTACAAACTCACTGTGTCACTTGCCTAAGTCCGTTTTTCCTTTCTCTGAACCTCAGTTTATCCTTCTGTAAAATGGAGATGCTGGACTTCTATAAAATGAGGATGGATGATCTTGTTCAAAGATTATCTGTTTTAGATGTTTCTAAAACAGAACTGATGCCCAAAGGAAGTTCCAAGGACATCTGGCACAAATGCCTCTTTGAGACAGGCACCCCTCCTCTTAGCTGCTGGCTGCAAAGCTCCAGGTCAGGGAGTTCACTCCCTCGCCATGCAGACCAATACTTGTCCCAGTGGTCTGAGCCAACCTGGCTCCTCCTTGCTTCTTTTCTGCACACTGGTGGGGCTGAGAGGCGGGCAGGAGGCCCCTCTAATCCCTGATTTGTCCAGCTCAAGCTCAGGCGCCTGCAGATGAGCTTGGCTCCATTATTCATCAGCCTGAGCTGCCTGGTGGCTCAGATTAAGGCACACAAAGGCTGGGCCACAGCATCTGCCTGCCAAGAAGGGCCTCTCTTGCCACCAGCCCAGTGAGCAGTGGCTGCAGAGACAGCAGCCTCTGGACAGCCACACTCCGGGCTCCGTAGCTCAAGGACGCCACACCCCCATTCAGCCCACTGTCCTAGCTGGCCCCAAGTCATTCCTTGCCTCTGCCAGAACATAGGAACATACCTTGAGTCCCTAGTAGCTGGGAGGGCCCAGAATGCATGTGGGTACGTTGACTCTCCCAACAAGCCCATACTGCACCACGGGCCTCCCTCTCCAAGTCCTGTGGACCTGTCAGACCATCTGCCACCTCTCCCTAACCTGGCAGGTTCAGCCCCCAGGTGATGCCCCAAACCTCCAGACTTAGAGGCCCCTTCCGGGTGCTGGAGGGCAAACCTCCAGGAGCATCCCTCCTTAAACCCTCCTCTAGGCCTCAGCCTCTCCCCTCCAGCCCTGGCCAGGAGCACTAAGTCACCGATCCTGTTTTATTGCATCACTTTTTAAAACTTCTGCAAGAGGCAGAAGTTAAAAGAGAAGGTGCAGGCAGGTAAGTCTGAGGACTTCCAGGAAGTAGAGCAGCTTCCGCTGGCAACCCCCCCACACACCCCACCCCCGCTCCATATGACCAGCCCTGAGCAGAGGGAGCCCTTGAAGCCCTTGCCCTGACCTGTTAATTAACGCAATGGGCCTTCCTTCCCCAAAGGCCCAGCCACCATCCAGTGGCCTGTGACAGAGCCAAATGCAGGTGCTGGGCGTCAGCCAAGGCCCTGCTGCATGGCCTCCTTCCAGCCTTGTTGATGTCATAAATGGCCTAAGGGGGGGTTAATTGGGGGAGGTGGCCCCAGGGAATAGGATCCAGCTTGTGGGGAGGGTGAGTTAGAGCTCTGAGGAATGCAAGGCAAAGAAGCACAGCTCTTTCATCACTTTGCAGAGGAGTAAACTGAGGCTGGGAGAGGTTGGCTGCCAAAGGCTCAGAGCGAGTACAAACCCAGGTCTTTAAGCTCCAACGTCAGAGGCCCTTGTGCTAGTGTGTGGCTACCTGCCAGGCCCCCTAGGCAAATGGAACGCCTAATCCAAGGACCATTTGGAGAGTGAGGGTGTCGGGCACTGGGAAAGAGGTGGGGGAGATGCCATCAGGGAGGAGGGCCTAGAAAGTCAGAGCTTCACCACCTGCTCCTCAAAGCCCCTCTGCGTGTCCCCTCCCAGGTTCCAGGAACAAGAGGGCAGGAGCCCCTGGCAAGGGCAGTGGCAGAGCCAGCTGGCGCCCTCAGGAAGTGTATCTGAGGTACCCGTGCCAGGCCCTGAATCCGAGGCGGTAAAGACATAGGCCCACCCTCAGGCAGCTCCTCCTGTGTCTGGGCAGGCGGGGTAGGGCAGGAGGGTCAGGAATGAGTGGACACATGGGCCGAGATCACAGGGTCCTGGGTCTGGAGCCAGGGCGCAGCCATGCTGGGCCTCGAAGGACGGGGGCTGGCTGGCTGAGCAGGATGGGGGCTGGGGGGTGGGCGGCCACTGCTCACCTCAGGTAGTCGCGTCGGCACAGGATGAGATTGGCCTTGGTGTAGAGGGTGGAGCCCACCTCGCCCAGGCGGCAGTCACAGCAGGCGCACTTGAGGCAGTCCTCGTGCCAGTACTTGTCCAGCGCCTTCAGCAGGTAGCGGTCCTTGATCTTGCGGTTACAACCTGCGCAGCCCTTCTGCTTCCCTTTGGGCTGGACGGAGAGCATCGGCACGCCTGCGGAGGGACAGACAGATGTGAGCACAGGGCGGGCCCTGTGGCTCTGGGCCTTGGGCCACATCCCCCTGGGAAACAGGAGGTCACTGCTTCTCTCTGCTGTTCTTTCCGGGTTTGGGGTTCCCAGGGCCCTCATGTTCTCCCCAGTGACCTCCTCCCCTGGCTATGGTTCCTGCCCTTTGGACTGCATGGCATGGCCTGTTCCCCTGGCCGGGAAGGTCCCTGGAAGAGGCTTCAGGCAGAACAGGGATCCCTGAGTCTGCTCTGCTCCAGTCCTGGAGCTCTTCCTCCCCATCCTGGCCACTGCCCCACGTGGCCTGATCCAGAGTAAGCCCGAAGCCGCCCTCACAAAACCACCATCCGGCCCCACTCTTCCAGCAGTGGCCTGAGAATGGAGTCTCCTCATGCACGCGGAGTCCCCTAGAACTCCCAGATCTTTCTGCCAACTTGAGTCTTCCTCATATTGCTTGTGTGTTTGACCATCTTAACCTAAAAAGTCAGGCTACAGCCTCTTGGTCTATGCACATAGAATTGTGGATGTGTCAAGAAAAAAGTGAGGTGCCCCTGGGGGGGAGCAGGAGGCTCGGGAGCCCCTGGCAGGTGAGGGGAGGCAGCTGGGCTGGCCTGGCTGGGGCCCTGCTCAGGAACCTTCAGCTGGAGTCAAACTCCCACCTGCCCTGGCCTGAGGGAAGGTTCTGAGTCCTTGGATACTTGCTCATTCCCCCTCCAAGGGCCCACACCAGTCCCCAACACACAAGAAAGCACCGATTACAAAAGGCAGGAACCTCAATGTGGCGGTGGGGCTGCAGGGGCAGGGCATCCCGGCAGGTGAGCGCGCACCCACATATACCCCACACACATAGGCATAATGTGCAGGTGTGGGCACATGTGTGCACAGAGGCACGAGCTCCTACGCCCCTGCCCTTGGGACCACAGGGGCAATTGAGGAGGAGATGGGGAGAGACGTCGTCGTTCAGGAGTCTGCACACCCATGTGGGTCTTTGAGGCTCGGAGGGAAGTGCAGGAGCCCTCAGGAGCCCCGACCTGAGACTTCACAGGGCGGGTTGACTGTGAGAATCCCCAGGGAACCCCTCATGAAGACAGGAGTAGGGGGTGTGTGCCCCTTCCCTGACCAAGGCACCCCTGCCTGCCTCCCCAGCTCCCCACCAGCCCATCCCCTCCCAAGGAGCCCTACCCCCCCTGGAGTCCCTCCCACCCGACATCCCTCCCAGCCTCGGCCCAGAGTCTGAGCTGCTGGGCCCCTGCACTTCCTGTCGCTTCCCCTTCAGGCTTCAGGGGAGAACCAGCCACCAGGGCCTCAGCCTCAGGACCCATAGAGTCCTGAGGAGTTCTTCAGTCAAATGCTCTCATTCCACAGGGATGGGGAAACCGAGGCCCACGCAGGCAGAGGGGCTAGTGTCAGCCCCTGTCAGGCTAGCCCTGGGACTCCTTCCCCTCTCCTTGCTCTTCCTCAGCCCAGCTGCCTCCTCAGACTTCCTCTGGCCAGGCCAGGGCAGGGGGTGGCCCCTGCAGGCTGTAAGGGCTGAGGCCAGCAGACTCTCCCTTCCCTCCCCCCAGTCCCACAGGCCGGGCTGTTAGCTGGGAGTTTGCTGCCTAATTTCCTTAATGCAGCTGTAAAGGTTAATTGATCTGAGAGAGTGATGGGGCCCAGGACGACACTGTCTCGCCAGCAGGGCCAGGCCTGGCCCAGAGCTCTTGAGGAGCCCCTGGAGGGCAGCTGGGCGAAGGTGTCCCTGAGGGCTGAGACCTGAGGCTCATTCCAAGGCCTGGCCTGCAGGGAGGTGTAAGGAAAAGGGGAGGGGGGTAAAATAGCTGAATGGGAAGACCGTGGGGGGGGGCTCCAAGGGTGGGACTATTGTCCCTGTGTCCTGTGGAGGGAGCATCCAGCCAGCAGGGCCACGCATATGAATACAAACTCAAGATCTCTGGCGGGGCCTCTGGTACAGCTCTCAAAAGGCTGCCGCTCACTCCCCTTGGTGACCCGGCTGCAGCAGGCATGGCTCCCACCCCTGCCGCCCTGAGCCCCTCCCAGGACACCATATCTGCACCATCACCAGTGGGTGGATGAGCAGCTGGAACATCCACAATCAAGTACACCTCCCCACTAAGTGTCCCCAAAATGAAAGGGTCAGTGAGAGATCCCAGCACTAGGAGCGTCTGTCCACTCCCTCTGTCTGGCTTGACAGCTGGACAGGCTGGCCTTCCAAGCTCAGGCCCCAGCATGCGTAGCTATAAAGCCTGCAGGGCTACAAACTACTGCACTAGCTAGCAACCCTCTCACCAGGGGCCATGGTACCTAGAGGACCCCACGAAAGACATGAGAAGTCCCCTCTTCTCTGCCTGTGCCCAGGCTGAACACTGCACCGGCAGGTTGTCTATAAGGCCTGGGCACCCCTCTTCTGGGCTCTGGAGAGCTCTTCTATTTAACAGAAGCCACACAGCTTCTCCCAAGTATCCCATGTCCACTGAGACATGGAGGCCCCAGGTCATCTAGAGACCCTTGAGCTCTCTCCGCCTGGAAAGGCTGATGTCTCAAGAAAAGCCTGAGGCAGAGCCAGAGCACGCCTGCAGGATGGACCTGGGACTGGACTCCAGATCTGCAACCGTCTGGCTGTAGGGGCCAGAGCAGACGCCTTGGTCTCTCTGGGCCTTAGTTCCCTCCTCTGCCCTAGGAGGAAAATTGAAATAACCCCTTGTTTCTTACAGGAGGGCAGAAGAGCTCTGGGGGTCAAATGGGACAGTGGAGTCACTCCTTCCTTCCTGTGTTTGCTCTTGCTGGGCTAGTCCAGGAGGCTTGTAAACACACCAGGAAAGGTGAAGGGGCTTTAAGGGGGTTCTGCAGTCTCCTGCTACCCAGATGAAGGTATAAGCTCCCCACAAGGTCTGGGGGCCCTCACTCCTGCCTGTCTCCCCAGCCCCCCACCCAGTCTGCCAGCCTGTCCCCTGCAGACACCTCTTCCCTCCCTCCCTCCCCAGCCTGGCTCTGGGAGCTGAGCCTCAGGCCATGCACTTTCCATTAAGGAGATAGCATCCCTTTGCTGAAGTCCATTTGGGATCCATTTTAGTGTTATCTAAAAATCAAATCTACATGGTAATCCTTTTAATGTACTCCTGACTTTAGGAAAAAACAGCTTTGCGCTCCTTCAGGAAAGGTTTTAAAGCATTACCCAGTAATTACTACTCACCCATGAAAACATTGATATTTTACAATGGATGATGTTTGCGCCCACATGCCCGCCCGGGCACACGCTCAGATGCATATACTGGGCCCAGCGAAATAAACCAGTTCATTCAGCCTCTGTGTCACCCCCAAGTCCCAGGGTGTGGGGGGAATGACACTTGAGAGGAGACAAGCCACATGCCAACCCTTCCCCCAGCAGGGTGGGGGAGGCAGGGCTGCTGGCGGGAGGCTGCGCAGAGAAGACTCCTAGTCTGACTCATCTGGCTGCCAGACACTCACCCTCAGTTCTTTAATCTGGGGAAAAGCCAGATAGTCCAGGTGACAGGGAGGGACTGCCAGAGGTCATCTGCCTCTTCCATACTCTCCCTCCAGCTGAGAGAAAAGCCTTGTCTTTCTTGTGGACCCCAGAGTGGTCTTCTAGCCCTGACCCAAGCTCTCAGCAACTCCTGCCCACCCATCCCAGCCCGGGCTGCTCCTCGGATCTAGCACCTGGACTTTTCCAAACTGCAGGCCCCCAGTCCTGCTGGTACCTCCAGCTTGGACAGTGGCCTGGGACACTCCCAGAGCTCCCTCACGAGCTCCACCAAGGCCAGTCTTCCACCCCAGAATGTCCACCTCTCTCAGCCCCAGAGCACTCCAGGCTAAGCCCTGTGGCTGCCCTGCTGGAGGCCACTGTGGCCACCACTGGTGACTCCACTGGGCATCTGAGGTCCCCTCCCATATGCCAGCCTGTCCTGCTTGACACTGCTAGATCTGTTCCCTGAAGAATCCTGGAACACTACTCTCCATCCTGCAAATGGCCCTCACTCCACTACTGCTCCAGGAAGAAATGCCTTTTTTCTGCCCACTCCTGCTCTCCCCCAAAGACCAGAGTCAACAGCAGGGCTGAGGCAGAGTCCAGACCTTAAAGTCAGAGAGTCTAGTTTTGAGTCTGGGAACTGCTCTTGGAGCTGAGGGGCCTGGAGCGAATCCTTCCACCTTTCTGATTTGCATCTGGGAAATGGGGCCCTAATAGTCCCTTTCCACTCAGACTGATGAGGACAGACTGAAATGATGCCTGTGAAGCTACAGCAGAGTCTAGCTCCCAGGGGCACAAAGAACAGGAACTGATAGTATTATTAACACTCACCCCAGGACACCATGCCTACTCTGACACCTGTTTTCTTTTTACTTTTATCTTGACATAATTTCAAATTTTCAGAAAAGTTGAAAGAATTTAGAAAAAAATCTAGTATACCCTTCACCTAGATTCCCTAAACATTTTACTAAATTTGCTTTATCCTCCTCTATCTATCTACTACTTACCTATCTAGCCACCTACCTGTTTATCTTTAATTTTTTCCCTCAATCATTTGAAAGTCAGTTTCAGACAGGAAGCTTCTATACCCTTAAATAATTTTGGTGTGTAAATACTTTGCTAAAAGCGAGGACATTCTCTTACATAACCATAGTACAATGATCAAAACCAGGAAATTACCATTGATATAATATTATTATCTAATCTACAGACCTCATTCAGATTTCACCAATTCCTTCAATAATATCTTTATGGCAAAATCCCAGCTCACACATTGCAGTCAGTTGTCAAGTTTAGTTTACTTAAATCTAGAAGTATTCCTAAGCTTTTCCTTGTGTTTCAAGACACTAGCATTTTTGTATAGTCCAGTTATTTTATGGAATATCCATCAATTTGGGTTTGTTTGACACTTTTGACTGTGTGACCTTAATTCTGCACCTCAGTTTTCTTCATTGTAAAATGGGTATGAAAACAGTACTCATCTCATAGAGTTTCCACGAG